TTATGTTATAACATTCTCTCTCTCTCTCTCTCTCTCTCTCTCTATATATATATATATATATATATATATATATATATATATATATATATATATATTGAGAATGTTACTGAGAGTGTAATTGTTCACATTTTTATGTTAAATTTGCTTTGGATAATATGTTGAATATCGGAACCTGGTGTTGCAGGGTAAATTACGTCAAAATTGAAGTAAATTTGAAGAGTAAGCTGAACGACGGTAATTCCCAGGTAATAAAGTATGCGCAAAGACTTTAATGAAGATATCATACATTCTTAAAAAGACAGAAATACCTTTTTTCTTTAATTTTTTTATTTATATGTATTTAATATATTCAGCTAAGAGGTTTCAGAATATTAAACCCAGTTCAATATATTTCTGTATTCTTGTTTGGATTTCATCTCATCACCCAAAATCATTTTTTTGTCCCTGAGTTTTCACAAACAAGAGCATGATATTTGCGAATTCCCAGGAGGCGTCTAGAAATTGCTAAACGGTGATTTTCGTCAGTATAAGCACAAACATTTCAATTAGCACAAACATTTTTCTCCCTATGTTTATATATATATATATATATATATATATATATATATATATAAACATAGGGAGAAAAATGTTTGTGCTAATTGAAAATTCTGAGAGAACTGTGAGGGATGAAACTAAATCATTATGCATATTGAGGTCAGTGCTGAGAAGAGAAAGCACAACCCCATTGCGTTAATTCAGAAGATATGTAAATATTTTCTAGTACATTTGATGAAATATGTAGTACATTATACAAAATAGTGAGTTTTCTAAATTCGAATAATGTGTTTAAAAGCAATGATCAGAGTATATACACAAATGGAATATCCAGCAATCGTATGACACATGTATACGGGCACACAAAATAACTTTAGTTATTTTAATTATAAGTGGTGCATTTCTGTTTTAAGTAAATGTGGACACCACAATCCTTTGCTATAGTTCCCTACCACATATATGAACAGACCTTGGTGAATAGACAACATTTCAAATATATTTTCAGATACACGTTGGACTGTGTTCATAGTAAGTAAGGATTGTATTACTCCTGAATCTGTCAATCTCATTAGTCTTTGATAATAAACACTGAGCGATCTGAAACAACGTTAATGTTGTTATTATTTATTTTTTTAAATGTACGTATACATGTAGATCTACATCTAGTTCAAATTTATTTACGAATCTATCCTACAAGTCCAATATTAAGTTCCGATATTTCTTTCTAAATGCAATTTATTCCTCCACTGAGTAGCGTTCCTGAATTGCAGACTTTATACATATGTATTGTAGTATTCGGCCCGCAACCTAGCTGTTCAAGAATATGAAATTATATCGAGTTTCAACCACTGGTTTTGTGGCTTAGATGTTTTCTGGCATACTTCATTCTAACTTAAACTAGTGAGATGACAATAGCGGCAACCTTTCTCAGCATTATTTCTACCGCTCCGTTTTATATATTACTACATTAATTGAATCGTGTTTTCAAATATTTTTTTTTTCAAACAGACACTCGAAATCAGACCGAGAGTCTTAACTCTCGGAAACGGCTATCGAAAAGCAGTTAGTTCGAACTTCGGGCTTGACGGTTATAAAAGTGTTACTTTTTGAATATGGTTGCATTTTAGAAAAACGGAGTTTGCCAAAATAATGGGAATAATTGCTTATTGTTTTACCGACAGGCCTTTACAATACGAAGACAACCTTTTAATGACCCAAAATTGGAGCTTGGTTTGAGAAAACTTGTTTGTTATGACGTGCATACGTTTCAGACACAAATGATGGATAATTCTACCGGTTTCTAGACTTACCTCATACCCCGCTGGAGTTCTTCGTGATGGTTGTTTCTTCCAAGGAAAGTCCTGCTGCAGATAGAAAAAAAATAAAATTTAAATACAGACAACATAACATTGGTATTCTATAATTTGCCATCATTTGGGAGAATTTCTTTTTAAAAACGATAAATTCGATATTACTATACTATATTAAATGTCCTCTCACATTAGATGCTAGGATAATTGCAAGTGTAACGTTAATTCAAGTGAATATGAAAAGGTTGATAGACAAACTTTTAGAAAATGGAATTAACCAAGTCATATTATCAACCACTTATTTATTGATTAACAACAAATTATTCTGTTTAAATACATAAGTATGAGACTCGCTACAAGAGCATAATTGAAAATAGATCGGAAAATTACAAAGTTAACTTAATGTTTACAACGAGAATTACTTTTTGGCTACCCATTTATTTTATAAAATATAGGAAAATTGCTAAATATATTATTTATTCGGGGAAGGACGAAGAGAACGAAATTTAATTCTGTACATGCACAGAAATATTTAAGGCATATTTTACTGATAAAAAAGTGTTATTTTTCTGGACCTCCTCAACAAATATCTGGAGATTTGATGTTATTCTCAAAATCAGATTTAAACTACTATTAATTGAAAATTAAATATAGTTTTCAAATCTCCACATTATGCGATCGCTCATTTTTATTTTTTTATTTTTTAACATCTGCGTTCCTCAGTCGTCGATCTCTATCTTCCCAGTTCCACAAAAGCCTGACTTCTTACCTCATTTCGGTACCCGGAACGAAGTTTGAATGCAGTATCCATGGTTGAGCTCTGTAGCATGTCATAATTTGGAATTAATCAACACAATCAAGTATAAGCATGCTATAAGATTTTAAATGGAAAATATTTTATTCAATATTCTATAGCAAAGGATCACGTTGATCTTTTGACGGCGTTCGTTTCAATATGAAAGTTATGCACTGGTCGAACTCGTCTCTTATGACCTTTCTGACAACTTAAATGTATCTTCGGGTTCAAATATAAAAACTCAAGTGTTCCTCTCTTCTCGTTATATCAATAGGAGAGAGGTAGCGCAGATACATGCCACTTTCCCAGTCATCCATTGTTTCAAAAAGCTTCATTCACGGTTCTTAAGAAAAAATTAGTAGAGATATCATTATGCATGAGTGCAAATGAAGAGTGAAAGAACTACATCATTGCGGTAATTCAGAAGATATGTAAATATTTTTTAGTACATTTGATGTGAAATGGAGTACATGTAACATCTAATGTAAAAAGTTAATCGCTAGTAAAATAATATTTGCATTACGTAATTCAGCAAGACATGGCCCCAGATTTAAAACGCTGCCCGTCAAGAGGTAAACATACGTCAGAATTAATGAGTGCTTAGACATTTATAGCTAATAATGTTATGTATGTTTTATTGTAATAAAGAATCAGAAATATTCTCTATAAATCGTAAATAATCAAAATGCAATTGTTATTCTTTTAAATGTATCGAAAGGTTGAGAGAAAATGCACTTTTAAAAACAGAAAGTGAACATGTATTCTAATCCTACTCATCTAGTAAATAGATTTTTTAGGTAATTGTGAAATTATTCTCAAAATCAGCTTCAACAAGTTAAGTTAAAATTATATATTTCTATCTCGAACATGTTTGCATATTTTATCAACTGAGATTCCTTAGTTGCCAGATGAATCCGATTATTTTGACGCTTCAATTCCACAACAACTTGACATCTTACCTCACTTTGGTACTGGGGAATAGTTGATGCAGAATCCCATGGTGAGCTCTGTAGCATGATATAGTTTAATATTAATCAACACAGAACAAGTATAAGTACGTCCTACTATACTTGTACTATAATGTACTATAATGCTTTTTTGTATTCCAGCACTATAAAACTTTCTGCTGCCAAAAATGGTTCACAAAAAAGTTCGCTTAACGGCACAAATAATAACGTATTAGCATTTTACGGCACGGATGATTGCTATATCACACATTCAGTCTATCGCTGTCAGAGAATCGTGGGGAGCTGGCAGCAAACGAAACAGCTGAACACCTTTTTATCCCACAATCTTCATTACCGAGACGTCACAATAAATTTGTTTCGCAAAATCAAGTTTGATTTATTAAAAGTTTATAATGCTGTTATACAAAAAAATGAAATATCCAACTCGTTTGTAATGTTGCTTTATTGTATTAACACAAATTTGAAAACTCGCTCCTAACGTCGCTCTATTTCGAAATATGTTTTCACGCAATAATGTTTTAACATTATAAACTAATTGCATTAACTACTATTATTCAGTACTATATAGAAAATGCCCACGTCGTTCTTACAATGGCACTTCGCTTAAAAATGAAGTTACGCACATAATTGAATTCGTCTTTTTCACCCTTTCTGACAATCCAAAATTTATCTTACGGTTCAATTAAAAATAATCAAAGTTGATCCTCAAGGTTCATAATAAAAATAGGGGAAAGATGAAATATAGAGTAGCTAGTAGGTATCCCAGATATGCGGCTTTCGCGGTCCAAGCCGTTTTTCAAACGGCATCTTTCACGGTTCAGAAGATAAAAATGAATGTAGTGAGTTGAGAAATTTGGGGGAAGAAGCTAAACAATTATGCTCAATGAGAAGATCAGAAGTTACAGGGGAAAACTACATCATTGCGTTAATTCAAAAGATATGTAAATATTTTCTATCACACTTGATGTAAAAATGGGAATGTAACATTAGATGTCAAAAAATGAAGGAAAATCATTTACAATGTTATCTATGACCAAAGAGCAAGACATAAAGGAGGCCGACACAAATCGTAAATAACCGTAATGCCATTTTGATGTCTTTGTGTGTACCGAAATTTTGAGAAACAATACTTTTTTACAAACAAATATGTGCCTTTTCCGTTTCCACTCATCAAGTATTTGTAGATTTGATGAGATTATTCTCAAAATAAGGTTTTAAATAGTTAATTTCAAATTAAATATCCAAATTCTCCAAATTTCTTTGATCGCTCAGGTTTACTTTTTTTATCATCCGCGATTCCTCAGTTGTCAGATGAATCCTATTTTCTGGACGATTAGATTCCACAAAAGTTTGACATCTTACCTCACTTTGGTACCGGGAAATGGCTGATGTACTTTCTCGAGGTCGGATCTGCAGAATGTCATAATTTGATATTAATCAACACTGATAAAGTATAAGTACGTCGTCATCTTTTAAATGATAAACTATTTTATATCTTTTCAAACATTATAGCTTGTCATTGCCTTCGATACAGAGCTCGAAATACACTACATCACTTACCTGGATCGAGAGGATTGTGGTTACGAGGGAAATATGAAAGCGGTTGAATGATGCTACATGGTCTCTTATGGTGGGGTACATAGCATGTGTGTGTGCGTGCGTGAATGCAGAGAATTCGTGAATATTGTTTTTGTTAAAATATTTAATTTATTAGTGTTATAAAAGTATTTTATTTGTTGTTCTTAAGCGCATGTGCGTGCTCCTTTCTGGAAAATAATTGTGTGTGCTTTTGTTCGGCAGCATTTTTGATGCCTCAGGCCACTAGTAAGTTCTAATTGCGTCGTAAGGCGCGAACTACAATTTGTTGGAAAATTAGTATCATTTTCGTCTGCTACGAAATTTTCTACAAACTACAAAGTCTGGAAATTAGATCTTCAAATATTCGTTTACATTACTTATCATAATGGTGTAATATCACGAAGAATAGAAAGTGTTATTGTCAAGTATATGGTTGCCAGGTCTGCTTCCAAACAAATGGCGGGCAAGCAGGGGTGGGGGCAAAAAAAATTACGATTGAATTACATATTTTCTAGCAATTTTCCTATGCTTATTTTCTTAGACTATTCCTTTAGATTACGTACCAATTCATCATAAAGCTGTTGAATAAAAAATGTCCATTATTTTATGGAAAAAATAGTGAACATACTGTGAAAAAAGTGAACTGTCCGTTCAAACAGTGGAGACCTGGCTACCATAGTCAAGTATGCGCAAAGACACACAAGACACACACCAACCCCACCGCCTTGATCGGAATCTTTAGATTTTGTTCAATCGAGAGTGTGATTAGTGAATTTAGATTAGATCGGAATACGTATTAGTGAGAACACTATGAAACGAAATATTTGTTTACCTCATTTTGCCTGGTCCCGTACTTAATGGTCTGGATGGTTATATCTTCTCGCACCTTGGTCTGCAAAAATAATAGAATAAAATGTTACTCAATATACAAATATGTTGAGTTGTATTACTCAATAAATGTTATTGCACAACTAAAATGTTTCATGAAGGAAATGTGGGCTTGTTGGTAGTATTCTTAAACTGAAATTAATTTTTAAGTAACATACCCTAGATTATCTCTTGCTATTTGAAATTTTATAATTGTAGACTAACTTATACCTATAACACTAATATTTTACACATGTACTGGAGAAGTCCCATTGATTGAACATAGTACACTACGTTCATTTACGAACGTTATAAGACC